TATTGCTGTTAAATCGTTGAGGATTGGGGGTCCAGTTGTTAAACAATCGTTTAAACTTGCGTGATCTGAAGATTTACGGCAGCTACAGTCATAAACGACTCGTAGTGGTGTGGTAGATGACTCTTTAATTACGGCGTGATGCGGAATATAGTGACATGTTCGAGTGTTCATGTTTGGGTTTTCCACTTTCTCGATGAAACCTTGTTTTTCTTGATTAATGATCACGTCGTTGTACATTTTTAACTTCTCTGGATCATTCGCCATTCGTCGTACCATTGATCTTGTTCTTTTCGCAGCGATTTCAGCATTGGGTGGTAGGATTGGTTGATCGGGTTTCCACGGTAATTTGGCATGGTATTTTCCGTCTTTCAGGGAAATAGATTTGTCTTGGTATTGTTGCAAGAAATCTGATGTATCGTCCTTTTCACGTGGTTGAATTCCAATTGACTCTAGCTCCCAAAAACGTCGGAATTCAAATTCATCATCCTTGCTTGCTGTCATGATGTTTAAAATGGTGGTGTTTAATGCAGACGTTTGGTTGGTCAGTGGAATGGGTCCTGACAGGAGATAACCAATCTTTGACTTTGCTGCTGTTGGACCAGAACCCTTGATTATTTCATCTTCAACGACATTCCAATAATGATCTGCTCCAATCAATAAATCAATGTCAAAGGTATGCTCATTCGTTATTGGGTGTGCAAATGTCAGTCCTTTAAGGTGGGGCAAATTATGCAAATCAATGGTGGTAAAACTTTGTAAAGGGGCAGCAATTGTGGGAACAATGATAACTTCAATGGGAATGTTTTCTCCTACAGGAGTCTGCAAGTTGATGGTACCTACTTCTACTCTTCTTACTGATGTGGTTGTCCCACCAAATGTGGAGAGGGAAAGGGTTTCCTCGCGTTCCGCTGTTAGACCCACATTCCTGGCTAAGCTACTGGTGATAAATGAACGATGAGACCCTTCGTCAAACAAAATGTGGGCAGTAACTGTTGACCCAATGTACTCAATTGGAGAGATGGCTGTCTTCAACAATGTTGACTTGTGTTTGTTTTCACTTAGATGTTGAATTGTTGTGGGTGAAATGGTTGTGGGCGTTGTTGCTGCGGGTGAAATAGATGTGGGTGTGGCCATGTTTTCGGTTGGGGCGGTATTAATTGTATTTACTGATTGGTTTGGAACATTTGGTGTGGGGTCCTGTTTATCTTGGTTGGGAGGTGGGGGATTTTCTGCTGAACATAAACTTGTGTGATGTTTGCGATGACAAATTTTGCATCGACCCCTTGTCTTGCACTGGGACACAATGTGATTATCATTAAGACAATTGAAACATAGTTTGAAATCTCGCACTATGTTGTGTCTGTGTTTCTTGTCAGTTATGACAGTACAGTTATTTGGACTATGCAAACCTTTGCAGTAAACACATGCTCGCTTTGCTGTGGTTGATGGTACATGACGGGGCTTCCGGGCTTGTATGTCGAGTTTTTTGATTGTCTAATGGCAAATGCTGCTGTAGGTGGGTCTGGACAAATTTCATTTGGGTGTTGCTTAGAGGGGTTATTTTCGCCTACTTCTAATATGTCGATTTCTCTGCGTATTGCCTTTCGGAGCTCATCTAGTTTCCATTCATTAGTGTTGTGTTCTCTCGTAAGTGTTTTTATCAAGTCTGCTGGCAATTTCTTATGGATTATAGGAATCAAAATGTCCCCATATGAATCGTGTGATTTTCCTAACGCTTCGAGTGCACGGATATGTGTTTCCAATGTGTCGTAGAAACTCTTTAGACTAGACAAGGTACTTGTCGGGCTTGGTATGTTTAATAATGCTTGCATGTGTGCACTCACTGCTCTGTGTTGTTGACCAAATCTCTCTTGTAATAGTTTGATACTCTCTAGATAGTTATTTTCGGTTAAAGGAAATCCAGCGATTGACCTTGATGCTTCCCCAATTAACTGGGCTCTTAAATAGTTCAGTTTCTGTATGTTGCTTAGATACGGGTTATCGTGTACTGCTGTGCGGAAGGAATCCCAGAACGTTTGCCAATTCAAGGGGTTGCCGTCAAAGGTTGGTAGTGCTAACTTTGGGAGTCGACTCATGCTGTAACTACTGTTCGAAATGGTGGGGTTTGTACTTGTAACTGACGTACTTGTAGTGGGTGGCTGGTTTAAATTGACAGGTAAATTTTCACTTACTGTGCTTGATTGTGGTTGTGTCTCTTCTGGTGTTGATGGTTGATTTCCTGCTGGTTCACTCTCACTGCTTGTTGCCTGGTTGCTTTCTGGCGTTTGTTGAATATTGTTACTCGCTCCTGCTGCTTGGTCGTGCTGACTTATGTTCATGGACTTGGTTTTGTTCTCAATAAAATTTTTAGTTGTACAAATTGTCTCTGCGATAAAACTCTGTGTGTCTTCTGCCTCGATAATATCTGCTTCCAAATCTTCAGGTTTTGTGAATAGTTCAAATATCTTATTGTCTAGTTCTGATAGTACCTGTCCTTTCCGTTGGAGTTGCTCTAAATAACTGCCAAGTGTCACAATAGCATGCTGTTCATTTTGATCGTCTTCTACTTCTTTTAGTTCGGTAATTTTCTTCAAAACTTTCGTTAAATGTGCTCTGTGTGCTCTCCGTGATGCTATTAGACGTTGTTGTTCTTCCATCCTGGTCACGGCACCATAATTTCAAGTATTTATTGGTATATTGTTACGATTAATACAGGTTCTTTCGATAATATAAAGCGTGGAATAACAACAACATGGCGTCCATGAAAAGGGGCGCGAAAACAGTCAATACTTCATGTTATCAATGTATAATGTTTGTCTACTTATTTACGACAATCGGAACCGAATTGGGCGCCGTTGAAACAACGCGACGCGAACAAATAGCATTTAAGGCAATGCGAAGTATGACACGGTCATACCTAAGAGAACTGTTTAGTACAGTATCTGCCATAATAACAGCTATGTTCTGAGAAGCAATGATCGAAAATTCAAATTATCAAAACCAAGTAGCCTATACCAACTTTCTTAAAATTTAAGTTTCTCATTGCGCGGGGCAGCAGCATGGAATAATCATCCTCGTGAAATTCTTGACAAATATGAGTATCTTTCATTAATTCATTCAAACGATTGCAAAAAGTAAAATAATCGGTGCAAAATTTGTTTGACGGAAACACGTTGTTGCTTGCTCTGGCTGTTACCGATATATTTAACAATTATTCGCCGAAGGTGAGGTGATTATCGGGAAATATTTACCGAGACGAAGTCGAGGTGAATATTCCCCGATATTCACCGAGGCAGAGGGGAATAATTGTTTTAGTATTTTTACACAAAACTTTCTGTTTTTTTGGACTGAATTCGAATCTATTTAATTTCGCTTATTTCTTTATCAGTAACTTCCACAAAACAGCTAGCCGCGCCATTTTGCAAATTTCGGTTTTGTTATATTCACCTGTAGGTTATTATAACAGCTTAATACGTCAAATTTGACCGATCAACTTGTTGGATTTGTTATATTAAATTATGCAAAAATACTAATTATATATATATTCATATTATGTTCACTATTATATGTTGTACGAATACTGAAATAAGTTTAGATTTGGCATGATTAACTTAGATTTTTATCGCATGCATGTAAATTAGTTAGAACACGGCCCTTTGAAAAACAAACAGATGTCTGAAAGATTTCCGTGGATACTAGAAATGCATGCCTGCAGTAACCCCTCGCCAATATTTCCATACATTAAACATGAAGTATTCAGAAATGACCAGCACTGAACGCAGGCTCGCGCTCAAGTGTTGCCATGACAACACGATATTCTTAAATTTTTATTTTCATATATTTTGTACAAAACTGCAAAATAGTTGACAGATTCGTACTTTTAACTAAACAACAATAAATTTCCGAAATACATACTGTAGGTATATTATTTTGCATTTTGTGAGCTTTGATTTAATGTAAAATTTAACTTGAAATGCTTCGTAAAATGTTTTGGAATGTGTTGCGAACAGTGACGTAATGTATATTCCCCGAGCCGGCGGCGCGAAGCGCCGTGCGAGGGTACTAATTCCCCCCGGCTATTTACACCCGGGGAAACGAAAGCATTAGCGAAGTCTAAAGTTCAACAAATATCGCGGGCGTGGGTCACTGTGCGTGTTTCGGTGGGTGGTCATCCTCACTGATCTCATAATATAGCGGACTGTAATGAATAGCCAACACTGATTGGTCCAATTTAAAATTGGCATTATAACGGCTGCATGACGATTGACGACAGCGAAATTGATTTGATGATTTCTTGCAAATATATTTCATTTTGCAAGATTTTGTAAATTGCAAAGGATTTTTGATGAAATAAAGGCAAGAGGATTGCTAAAAGAAGGAAGTAAAGGTGCCGACGTTAACGAAGGTAAGTTTGTTTTAAATATTGATGCATTGTTTGCTTTTAATATACTGTAATCTCGGCTGTAATTACTTTAAAAGCCGATCGTTGCGTATATAAAATATGAAACAAGACAAAGTTTATTGATAAAGGCAGTTTAGTTTTATATTAAAAGAACACTTTCAAACGTTTTGCGAAGCGTTTGTGGTTGAATTTTACCTTAAATTGAAGCTTATAATATTACGTATAATAACATACCTACTGTAATTACTTTAAAAGCCGATTGTTGTGTATAAATATGAAACAAGACAGCGTATTATTTCAGTGTTTCTTTATTGATTACACTTTTTATTATACTAAGCAAAGTTATTTGCATGGGAGAATTTGGAATCATTTTATTTCGAACTCAAAGTTTATCGATAAAGGCAGTTTTGTTCTATAGTAAAAGAACATTTTAAAACGTTTTGCGAAGCGTTTGTGGTTGAATTTCACCTTAAATTCAAGCTTATATTACGTATAATAACATACCTAACATATATATGTTTAGGAAATTGATAACTTTGTAATTAAAAGTGATATTTATAGGGGATTTTTCATTTGTAAAAATATTCTTAAAAAATTATCGTATTACCATGACAACTACTTAAAATACTTCACGTTCGGAAAATAAAATGGTTTTGTCTGCAAGGCGAGGGTTTCTGCATGCATGTATTTTCTAGTTATTTATGTAATATATTCAGATTAGCATTCTTAATTATGCTAAGACGCGGGAAATAAAACATGTGTTATAAGGTTTGTAATAGCGACTTGAAACTATATCGGACACGCTAGGTACATCGGACGAATTATTTGTTGTAAAAGAGGATTGTTCAAAGACTCGCCAAGAAGTAAGTTACTGAGAAAGAACACGTATATACCTTTTATACTTTACTTACATTAGTTTTATATTTTTATACCTTTAGATCGAATAAAATTATTGACATATTTAATACGTTCAATTGACTATACGATTCGCGGGTCTTTGTCGGTAATATATTGAGTTCTGTCGAACCCAACGGACCAGAATGTTCATTCAAGTAAACCTACATTTTGCCGATAAATTGTTTTTACTTAACAAAACATGATAAGTTTAATAAAAATAAAATAAAATTGTTAGGTAATTTCAGTTCAGTTTTCAAATCAATTTGTTCGCCTTTACATTTTAAGATTTTTTCTCAAATTAAACGGTAATTTATGAAACTTAGAGCTTCTATAGTTCATGTTTTTTATTTAATACGTAAAAAGTTAAAGCAACAAAATTCGTAAATATTTTAAAAATATTCAAAGCAAACTTGACGTATATTTCACGATTTCCCGTAGTAAACCAATTATTCTCATTTCTTCAAACAAAATTGCTTCAAGCTTGTTGTATATGAAACGTTTTTGCAAATATATGTCTTTTAAAATTGAAATCTTGCTTGCCATATTTTTGAGATAAGTGAGGATGACCACCCACTCAAGATCGTCGTTCGTTGGTCAGCGCCCGCGATGATTGATGAACTTTAGACTTTGCTAATGCTTTCGTTTCCCCGGGTGTAAATAGCCGGGGGGGAATTAGTACCCTCGCACGGCGCTTCGCGCCGCCGGCTCGGGGATAAATATATTTAAATAATAAAATAATAAAATTAAAAAACCTCATGTCAAAAAGTCGATAGCAAAATGGCTCTACCAAAAGCGAGCTTGTGTAACGGTTCTAGACTCTCACTCCTTTTTATCACTGCATGTGTTTGTGTGTACTGTGGCCCAACAGAACAAAGCCTTCGAAAGAATGAGTCCGGTACATTAAAGCAAACTAATCTCAACGAAAAGTCGGGATGGCTTCACCATGAAAGGCTTCGCGGAGAGTTGTCGGATGCTGTTACGCAGTGTTCCGACTCTCAATGCTGCGGGGATAAAAAAAACCATCTGACCATTTAGGTTGCTACTGCGATGAAGCTTGCTATAAAATTTTCTCTGATTGCTGTCCAGATTATGAAAAGCAATGCGGTCGACAGCAATTGCTCGAGGATAAAACTTCAGTATGGAAATGTGTCGAACTTGAAGTGGAGAGATATCGATGGAGCTGTCTCATGGCAGGTTTGATTGGAGTTTGGATAATTTCTAAATCTACTGCCGTATGCCGTAGAGGACTTTATTCCGGTGGTAGGAGAGAAAGACGCGACATATTGGAATAAGCATTGTGCTGTGTGTAATGGCGTGGAAAATCACACTTCATGGGAAGTTGAGGTTTTTACATATGTCATTCCCCCCGATGAGTTAGATCTAGATTCCAAACTGAAGTTTATCGAAGACAATGGGGGTTGGATTAAGAGTGTTCTACCTGATCCGGGACAACCTTGGAGATTTTGTTTTGGAAGAAATTTTAAAGACAACTGTAGTTCCACGAATCACTTACTTTACAAGGCTTGTGTTGAAGGCCCTGTTGAAGTCGTTGGCGGTGAAGGCAATTACTTTAAAAATAGTGCATGCGCAGAATGTAATGGATGGGATAATATCGACTCTTATGATATAGACACAAGGTGCGATGGGCCACAACCCCCTGGCCCCGACCCTGAAGGATTTTCCATCGTGTTTAACTTAAGAAAATCGAGTAAAAGTTCAACAATTACTTCTGCTTGTCCCCGCGATACTGTTTATGATACAACCTTAAAGTTCTGTCGCGAAGGGTATGTTATTCCATCCAGTGGTAAACTGACGAGTGAGTTTTTTATAGTATTATGGTTCAAACTGTCTCGAGGATGGATAGCAATTCATTCAACCGTAGAATATAATTTTAAATTAGCGCTAATTTATCGGTTTTCGCTTCAAGACGATCAAATTTCAAAAATTACTTTCCACATGCCAAACCGAAAATCACCGTCGCATGATTTTGTCGTTGCAACATTTCGTTTAACATTGACGCCATTTCAAAGCTTACTGATGGCTAACCAACACAAGTCCATCTTTAATGTTACAAACCAGAACACTGCTTTCTTGGAACTTTTGAACTTTACAGGAAACTTTGCCTTATCTTGGGAAGAAATTACTTTTATTGTGGTCAAGATGACTCCAAAACAGCTTTCATGCTACGTCGAAAAGAAGCTTCAATCACATGAATACAAAGTCGATAAAGAAAATGGAAGCTTGATCGTAAATAAAACAGGAAAAATATTTTCACTTGAGGATCATACTTTAATTAAAGAAGTAGACGGAAATATCACATTATGTCGTAAACTGCAGCTGCTTTCAGATTGCAACGAAGGTGCATTTGTGCGTTTAAGTCCTCACGAATACGTTGTCTTCAATAATTTGACAGTTTATCACAATGCAACAGAGAGAGTTTTCAAGTTTGGCGAGTATCTAATGAGTGAAAACAAAGGGACTACGAATACTTCTAATATAACTCAGAATTCTATTTTATCAAATAATTCAACGATTTCCGTTTGTTTACCGTTTAAAGATACCTTTCGATTCCCAAAACTGAAAAAAAGTACAGTACGAACACGACAAGTTACGCGCTACGGATTCTGGCATTAATTGGTTTCAATGTTTCGATTATTTGTTCAATGTTGCTTTCGATAACTTATGGATTATTCCAAGAATTATGGGCAGTCTTAGGGATGAGTTTAATGTACTTAAGCTTGTCATTGTTGCTGTCACATTTCATATGGTTGACAAGCACCAGTCATTTCACGGGAACAATAGCATGTACAGTTTTGGCGATTTTTGAACACTATTTTTTCCAAGTATCGTTTCTAGCAATGTCCGTCATCTCTTACCATTCCTCTTACATTTTCTTACAACCATTCGCTGGAAGGTTTTCCTACAAATCTTGCCGGAGGTTGATCATGTATTCAGCATTCGTGTGGCTAGCGTCTGCCATATTTGTCGCAGTTCGTGTCGCCTTGGACAAATGTGAAACATTCCTTGTGGACAATGGAACAAACTGTTATTTGGGAAATGTAAACGCTAAGCTGTATTTATTCTTACTCCCCCTGGCTATATTACTGTCCTTTAATATCGTTACTTTCATCCGTACAGCACTCGGTTTATATCGTCATGACCAGGAAAGATCCAGGACCTTAGAACGCCAGAAAAGAAAACAAAATCTTCTCATCCGCACAAAACTTGCAACGCTGGTCGGATTTCCCTGACTGATTGCGGTTGTTGGCGTGCTGTTTCCCAATGTCGAAGCATTCGAATACATGTTTGTTATTTTTGTTTGTTTACAAGGATTGTACATTGGAATGGCGTTTCTGTTTAACAAGAAAACTCTGATGCTTGGATCGTTGGAATATCAGCTCCAGAGGAAATGCATCTTCTTATAATCCTGAAGCAACTTTTGAAATGACATAAGGAAATGAGTGCATGTATTACAGTCAAAATACAAAAGCCATCCCAGGTCCAAACTTACTAGCAAATACCGCAATAAAAATTTTCCTTGTTTTTATACGAAAATATGTAACAATGAATGAATTTCCTACATGTTGCCAAATCTCATGGTATTTCCCCATAAATCGGTAACCGCTACAGTAATAAAAAAGCGAAAGTGGCAAGGTTCTTCTATTTTGACTGTAAAGACCTGTTCAAAATGAAACTGCTAAGCAAGACGTCGTCCATGAAGTATTTTTAGTATACACAACTTCGCTGTATTTTCATCAGTTTTACGCATTTGCGATCCCATACGAAGTTAGGCATCGCTTTATTTTCGTTGTCAGTTAGTTTGTTCGGAATCATAATCTGTTGCACTTATTTAAAAGTAGTATATCACTGCGCTTGTAGTGCACTTGTATAAGCCGCAAACGTGTTGTTTTGCGCATGCTCCAGAGCACTTCTCTGCAGTACTGTTAAACATTATTAATATTGTAATCCTGTCCTGAAAACCCTTTGAATATTTAGAACAATGTGTTTGAAAGGTAGCACCATATACAGTTTAGCATGACGCCCCGAATATTTTATTATTGAAACGGGGCCGTAGCGAGGGGGTGGGGGGCATTGGGGGGGGTGGTTAACCCCCCCTCCCCAACTTTTGTAGAATTAACATATTCGGAAAATCGGGTTGGCCATTCGGAAAATTAGTATAACAAAATTTTAGTTGTTTAAACAGAGAAAATATTATAAATGGTATTGTCAGTATAAACCATTGGTATAAACTGACTTACGAAATCACGGCATTTACATGGATAACGTAAAACCAATCGTAAATCGGTAAGTGTTTTTCGGTTTATTACTTCTCAGGGCCGTAGCAGTCGGGGAGAGGGGGAAAGACTGGGGGCAGGAGCCCTTACAATAATAATTTGCTGATAATCATTCTTTTTTCAAAATTATGCACACCTTTATCATTTAAATAATATACCTTTAAAATACTGACACTAGACTAGAGGTGTGAATCGGATCGGATTGGACGTTTATAAGCCGACAATTGCCTAATGTTTAAAATCCGATCCGAAATTGTCTAATCCGAATCCGATCCGACTTTTGAAAAGAAATTCCAATCCGATCCGATCCGAAGAATTCTTTAATAAAATAAATTTCTCATTCAAGTTGAAATATTTAACCAAATAAATATAAAAGCAAGAAATACATGTCCAGAAGCTGACAAAGTGTCGTCCAATTGAAGTATCAAACGAATAATGCAGCGACAACCGCGATGATAATCTGATAAATGCATGGATAATTAATTCATTTTATTTCGGATATCGAAGTCCGATCCGAGTACGAAACAACGTTATCAATCCGATCCGAAATTTACATTTTGGTTTCGAAATCTGAACGAATCCGATCGGATTTGCACACCTCTACAATAGACTTTAATTTCCCCATTTGAGAGAAATTTTGATCTAGACAAGCCTGGACAAAAATTTCACCACAGCTTGAAAGAGCATCACAAAATTAGTAATATTCCGAAGTTTCGTTGAATGTTGTAAAATGCGGATAATATACCTTGCGATGTTTGCCGTTTTTCAGTCATTTTGCATTACAAACGGGAAATTGATAATCGGATGATCAAAATGATTACCAATTTCCCATTTGTACTGTACAATGACTGAAAAACGGCAAACTTCGCAAGGCTATATTATCCGCATTTTACAACATTTCGCAACGAAACTTCGGAATATTACTAATTTTGTGATGCTCTTTCAAGCTGCGATGAAATTTTTGTGCAGGCTTGTCTAGATCAAAATTTCACTCATAAGGGGAAATTAAGGTCTATTGATTAATTTTAAGCGGCTACATTATCCATGACAAACCGCAAAGAATCATATTACCTATACTCTTTCCTGCAATATATAGTTAACTAAATACGCATTCGCTCATTTAGTTCTACTAAATTGTAAGCAAATTGTAAATTTCGAGATACTAAAACTCTATTAACAACTCGAACCGACTTGACCACGTAGCTCAGTTGGCAGAACATTGGACTAGTATCCCAAAGGTCGCGGGTTCGACTCCCACCGTGGCCAAGCAAACTTTTCAGCTTGACTTGCCCGCTGTGGATGCATACTCAGAGTAACATCACAAATATCATACTAAAACTCCGTTTTCTGACCATCAGAATTCTGTCAAAACTTCCCCAAAGTCCAGGAAATGGCATTTCAGAGAATCTAAATTTAAAAATTTCCTCTGGCTTTCGGCCCTCGTTCCCAGCCCCCAATAAAAAAGTGCTTCCTACGGCACTGCATGCTTCTGTAATATGTCTTTGCGTAAACTATGCCGGTGCATTTTTGTTTGTAAATTGCATCTTCATTTTCCGGATAGCAAACACGTTCGTGGCTTCGTATGCTATGAAATATTCGGAAATTTTCTTCGTCATTCGGAAATTTTTGGCCTACACCCCCCCC